TCAAAAATGAGCCATTCCATTACCAGTGTTCAGCTCACAAGATACAATAAGGGGAAAAAAAGTAATGACAAAAACAAAGAAGGTTCAAATTTCCTTAAAAAAGTCTAACCACCCCCCTTCCCTCTGTTCAGCTGCAATAAGGTGAAAGGCTAAATGTGGACAGAATGGTAATATGTAAGCGGTTTCTAAGCTTTCTGGTGGGAATACTTAACAACATAAATATGTTTCCCCTGGAGACCTTCCCCACCATTTGGTCCAATTTCTTACTCCAAGAACTGAACCAATTCATGATGTAATGCTCCAGGGAAAACATTCCTCTCGAAAAAGAGTATCTTCCTAGGGAGAAGTTTGAAGAAAACATCTTAATATTGTTTAAACAGCTTTTGGCACAGTCATACTAGTYGCACTGCATTCAATATCGAAAGCAGGCTAAAAATGTGGAAACGGAAAGTTTTAGGATTTAGTTTAAGACTTCTCCTTGACTACCACCCCAAGTCCCTAACCCTTASTGATCCGTAGTGGAATGAAAAAAAAAGAAACAATAAAAAAATCAAAATTCAGAAGCAGAGGTTTTCTTYGCCAACATGAGAGAAACTATTTAAGACTTTGTCTATTTTGGTATATCAGTATGAAAATTACATCGTTAATTCTGCCTACAGCCTTAYCATTTTCGATAACTCTTAGACAACAATGCAACTCCAAATGTGCTTAACTGCACAGCTCTGGCTTTGACTATGGGTCGTTGAGGTTCTGTTGAGAGGCAGCATGCCAGGCATTAGAGAGTCCTGGCAGCACTGCTTTGATTTGCTTAACTCATGATATCTTGTGTATGCAGAATTCTCTGGGTTACCAACTGCTTCATTTCCCCTCTCGGATCATCACATTGGGAATGAGCTTGGCAACTGGTGGCTGGCAAGAGCTGAAAACTGGTGCAATTAAGTAACAGGGAAGTACTGGAGCCCTGGGAAGGCTGCAGCAGGGTAGCAGAGGCAGCAGGACACCGCGTGGGGGCTCAGAAGCTTTAGCTGCCATAGCTGTTGTGAGAGGGGAGCAGGGCAAGAGATGCAATAGACAAATGTTTAAGTGTCACTTACGAAAGTTTATACTCCATGGATTATACTATGTAATACTTAGCATAAATGTACTACTACTTACTACTACTACAAAGATGACAAAGCTTTCTTTGCATAACATGGGTACTTAGGCTTTTCTTGAGAAGAAAGTAATTAAGCATCATTACTATTTGTACCTACACACTTTTCCTCCAACAATTTTACACAGATGAGAGTACTTAAAATGACAAAAATCATAGTTCAAACTTGAGTCCCCTTGCAACTCCCCCCCCCCTTTTTTTTTTTAATTAATGAATCTTATTTACTCCTAAAACTCAGCATTACTGACCTTCTGAACATGGAATTAAGTACATTGGTTTGTCCAAACATTCATTTGACATAGGCAGATTATTTATGACAGAGTGAAGCAAGTCTTCAGTAATGTCTTCAGTTTAACTCAGTTGATTTGTTGGATAGCAGAATTAAATTCTTATTTTTCACTCTGACGCTACAGTGCAAATGAATGAAAAACAAAATAAGCAAATAAATGGAAAAAAAAGAGCAAGAAGCACTTGGTTTGCGGAAAAGCACAAGACCATAYACAGACGACGCAGAAACTAAAAGCCTAAATATTCAATTCCTAATTTGGAGTTCATTTTACTACACTAATATGGCCTTCCAGGAAAAACTATTTGATTTTACAACTTCTCTCCAGATTTTAAGCTATTTCATTCATAATCTTTTACTATTTCATCATAATGTTTAGAAAAATATGAGGTTCATTTATTTGCTTTAAGAGCTTTATATTTTAATTGTTCAAAGCAATTTTTGTGTTGGGGTTGGCATTGTCAGAAACAGACGATTTGTTTGGGAGACTAAAGGCATCATATCYCTTTGATAATTTATAGTTTTAGTTCTTTGTGGATGCCGTATTCAAAGGCCTTTGGGCATAGGTGTCTCAATCAGAAGTTTTTAAAAATATGGTTGTTCAGGCCATAAAGCATGTTGCTCTGCAGGAATCGAGTTACAGCACAAGGTCTTCACCGAACTGCTTGGCAATACCAAAAACCAGCAGCAAAGCTGCACCACAGAAAGGGTATTTAAACAACTCTGGTGGAGCTGGAAGTCAGTCAGTAATAGGCTGCTGTCAAAAGGGTTTTCTCCTCGCTTGCTGGGTCCTGCATTCATAGAATTTTCAGTTTCTTGGTAGACCCAAAACTTTTAAAGCCTTGAGTCACAACTATTTATCACCCAGCAGGGAGTTACATAAAATGTATTTTTCTTCAGAGTGACTGTTCTCATAAGAAAAACTCGTTCGAAAAAGAGGAAAAAAGGAGACAATTAAGAATATTTTTTTAAACATACAATATATCCTTACTAACAGGATTCTTAAAACTAAATAATATGAACKGCAAAAATTAATGCCACCTGCAAGCTGTAAATATATGTATTATTTAATTTTTTTTCCCCAAGTATTTTCTTTGGCTGTTATATTCAGCTGAACAAGGCCTAAAAATTGTCAAACTAAATTCTTGTTTAAGAGTAGAGCTCTAACTACTGCCAGTTTGAGTGAAACACACATCCAGGTTTAGGGAATATGTTTTGTTTGTTTTGGCTGCAGCACAGGGTAGAACATTTTCCATCCCATCCGAATGCAGTCAAAAAGGTTTTGAAATATTGCACAATAAAAGCCATTCATTATATCTGTCTCCTCTCCCTTCCAAAAACAGAAATGGCTGACCAGTTCCAAATCTGTGCAGGGGGCAGGAAGATGGGAGTCAAAGGGTCGTTGGAAATAACCCAAGACTAACACCAGGTTTTTCGGGTTTGAGTTAGGGAATATGTTCCATGCCCTCATTCCCAGTGCACACAGGTTTTTCTTCCTCCCCCTACAAAGCTTGGTTAAAGTAGTTAACTGCTCTGTTATGCACAATTTACTGGACTTAATTACAAAACTAATACATTATCCTTCTTGTCTCTATGTTACAGTCACAACATCATTTTTTCTAGGGGGACACAGGAAAATTAAGACTTTACCTTACTTCAAACTAGAACATTTTGATTTGTACTGTTTATCTCCTAATTTTAAATACAGACAATTTGAAGGAATGCTCAACTACATTTAACAGCTTGTTATTGAACAGTTATTATWTCTATTGCTTACCTTCCTGCTAGCAGCTTGAAACATCAAATTTCTTTCACTGCCCACTCCTCCTCCTGTGTGCTTAAACTATAATTGACACAATTTAACTTTTTTTACGTTCAGTTCCTCATACATAGAAATGTAACAGTGCTTTTCTATTTGCTTCCTTGTGCATAGATCAGTTCACCACTAATATCCTTCCAGTTTTAAATGAACTATAAAAGTGCTAGAGAATTCAGAGGCAAGAGGAAGAAGAGCACAGGACATTTTAGCATGATTATCAAGACTAGATAAACATTAAATAGAGAAGTTGGTAACACTCTTGTATTCTAGCATCTCCTTCTATTGTCCGAATACTCAATTTCAAGTAGAGAAAAACTAGGTCAAGATTAGGCAACTGTTTAATTAACACTGGTTTTTAAAAAGTAYGGTTTATCAGTATAATAGAAAAGAAAAAAAGCGCACATACTATTCTCATTGTTTTCTTTTTCCTGCTTAGAATGACTGTCATATTGAGCCTTCAGTGATGGAGATTCCAGTTTCCCAAGGCAATGTATTCCAATGCTCAAATGTCTCTACTGCTGGCACTTTTAAAATGTCTATCAGAGATATTTTTCTCTCATTTTAACATATTATTTCTTGTTCCATTTGTGATGGAAATTAAGAACAGACTATTAGCCATGTCCCCCTAACAGCCTTCTACATAATTCAAGACTTGTCTCAAGCCTTATCTCCAGATTAAACCTAGTTACATCAACCTTCTTGCATCTTTGCAGGCTACAACCTCACCCACATTATGCCCTGTAATGGCTACTAACCCTTTTCAACCAAATTGTGACATAAGGCAAATCCAACTATTTTCCTTTGCCTGGGCCTAGCTCTATTATTTCTGATTTTACTTAAACTTCACATCTAAAGCACACTTAACCCATCCAGTCTTGAAACCTCTAAAGAAGAATGCTCTTCCATTGCTGCTGTTTTCAGTGCATTACATCYGCAACCTCAAAAAGAACAAGAACATTCTGGGCAGCATTTTAAAAACTAAGCCTTCTAGTATCACATATGCTAGTTTACTGTCTCTTCTTCCAAGGCATTCCTTTAGCTGACCTGAATATTCAATGTGCTATTCAGCATTTGAGGCCCCAAAAATCTCAGGTTACACTCACCGATAGATTTAATACAACAGCTAAGCCCTCAGATTCTCAGCTGCAATTGTAGATCTCTACTGTGTTTAAGAGAATGTTGTGCAATTTTCATATAGAAATTCATACCTAGAATGCAATGCATTAGCATTTCACCTTTCTAATATAGATTAATGCTTAGAAGCATGGCTCAATTACTGTTAAAATCTAGTTTTAATCATTTTGTTAGAAGTAGCAGCTATTATTAAACTCAAGTAGCTTTAAGTTTTATCCTCAGCTAGTATTTTTCCAATGAAGCTGTACACAATGATGTAGTTTTCCAAATAATCCAGGTTGGCCCATAAAACTCATGCCAGAATGCCCTCTGCTGGTGAGCCAACAGACTGCTACCCCAAGAAGATTTAATTTAACTGTTGCCCATTCTAAAGTTTTCACTGTGACACAAAAGCAAAACCCAACATAAAATCAAAACAACTGTTTAGATAACTTCAGTTATGTTTCTAAAGCAGCACAAGATGAACAGCATTTAATTAGCGAAGTTCCTCTCAGGTTGCTTTAGGATTTCTTGTCCTGGGAAAAACTGATGATACCTGCAAAGAGAAATAAAACATGCAAAAAACCGAAAATGTTCTGTTTCTTTTAGGCTTTATAAAAGCAACTAAATACAGAAAATACTTTATTCTACATCAATAATGGTAAAAACAAGGTCACAGTAGAGATCTTATTCAACATAAAGCTCTGCTGAAAGCGGGCACAGGTATTTCACTACGGCTAAAACTGAACATCATAAGGAGTGAAAGTAATGCCAAATGTTTAAGTTGATCATCTATAGTCGTCGTTTTTATTACATTTTTGAAATTAGAGAAGTAAAAATGTAGGATGACAGGTGAACTACCAAGTCTTATGCCCTATATTTAATACATAGGCACTGAATATTAAAATATACATCATACAATAAAGTTATATACAATAAATATTTAGAAACTTTTTTGAAATGAGTAAGCATAGTTTAGTAAATCTGATATAAAATTTAGCCCATCTTTATATGAATTCCACTCTAGTCASTGCCTGTAATGGAACTTTGATTTACTGCTAATTTATTGCTCTGAAAACACACCACACTATRAAAACACAAAAGGTGAAGATGCAGATTAGAATAAAGAGGTGCTACCAAAAYTCAGTTCACCATAAGACAGGAAGTTTTATCCTCTTGACTACGTCAGCACGGTCTACTAAACAAATTCTCCAAGTCAAGCTAATTCCTTCTCACAGTTCCRATTAGCAAGCATTTTAGAGTCATCAAGATAAGAAAGGGCAAATTTAAGTTATTACGAAAATTAATAAGGAAATAGGATATTACAGGATATTACATATTTCTTCCACTTACACCATTACATAGAGACTATTTCTAATAGCACTTAGGTTAGAAAATATCTATGTTAAAATACTGACCATTTTTTTTTTTAAAGAGGTAGGTGAAGATTTGTTAAATGTCAGACTGATTTTCAAGAGATATTTCTACTTCACCATATGGTTCTTGGTTACTTCTGTCGTTCCTGTTTCCTAGATCTGCTATGCTCCTTTTCTGGGGTTGAGCCCAATTTCTTTTTTCTGCAGGTGTGAATACACCCATGCTTCTCCTCCTCTGCCTTTTGCAAGAACCATCATCAAGATGCCCAGAGTTATTGTTTTCCTTTCCTTGTGCTGAAAATTTGATGAGGTTTTCTTCTCTATGGTGAACTTTCTCAGATTCTTTAAGAACAGATACACTTGCTCTTCTCCTAATTTTGCAACAGGAAGCTAAAAGTTGAGGTCTCACTTGGATCTCATCAGGTACTTGAATCCATGCAAGTCCTTCAGTTTCTGCATCTTTATGTAGTCTCATGCTGCGTCTCACCCTCCTTTTCCCATCACTAGCATCACTCATTCTAAAAGACTCCAAGGAATCATTTTTCAGCTGAGCAGCAGATAGGACTTCTTCCACATTAAAAGAAGAAACTGAAAACTTGTTTCCAATTGCTTCAAAATCTAAGTCTTTAATGTTAGAAATGCACGCAGTACTATTTCTTCCTTTTCTTGATGGTTTTCCTCTTGAGCAGTCTTTTGGTGAACACTCCATTCTTTGGGCATCCTTATGTACACCAGTGTTCTGAGGTTCCAGGAATTCTAGTCTTGCTAGTGGCTCTTCCTTATTTAGGAAGTTTCCTTGTAATTTCTTGTTTTCTGTTAAGGAATTAATTTCTGCTTCTTCTATACATGCAAACTCTTGACCTTGCTGGATGTAATCAGACGTATCAAATATACACTTTGCTTCGGGTACAACACTATTGGGAAACTGGGAGAAAGAAAAAAAAAATTCTAATTACTGGTGAAAGGTAATGGTTTGAAATAGCTGATAATTGGACTGCTACTACTACTTGTTTTCCTCAGCACTCCAATCATTCTTCTCTCTGCACGCCCTCTTCCTGTCCCCCAGGAAAAAAAAAAAAAAAATCTGTACATTAGAAGCAACCTAATGGTGTATCCTTATAACGATCAGTTACCTGGTAATCAGTGCTTGAAACAGGCTCTGGATCACCTGAAGTCTGAAACAGTGCGTCTCTGGAGCTGCTGGCTTCCACAGCATCCAGGTCCTTAGAGCTTGGACATGTATGAATCGTATCTATGTTTTCCYCTTTCATTCTTTCAACCACTTTCTGTTGACCATCCTCATAAGTATTCCTGGATTTGAAATCATCTAAAAGTCATTTGAATTAGAATAAACGCAGGATTACTTGACTCTACTTGCAAACATACAAAAATCATTTCTAGAATATTACTAAAACCTTTGCAGTAAGTTACTCATATAAAAGTAATCTTCTAAACAGTAATTTCAGATAACTAGCATTAACAAAACCTACCTAAAAAGATACTGCACATTAATCACCTATTCACGCCCAACATACCAGCTTTAAAGAAAAAGAAAATGTCAGACCCCAGTCACATCGCAGGTAAATTCAGTCTAGCTGTCAGCTTTATACTGGAGTTCCATAAGAGCTGAATTTCTCTAGTCTGAAATTATGACATATTAGATCATTTGGTCTCTGCTTTTACTAATCATTCCTCCATCTTTGCACTCAAGAAGCCATTAAATGTCAAAAAACCCCAACAACCAACAAAAATGTAGGGGCCTCTACCTATACACAGTACACAGCAAGTATCAATAGTTTTATACATAGTAGAGTGAAATAAAAAAAGTAGTAGAAGTAATAAGGAAAAACAGGACTAAGAAACATTACCTGGAAAAACTGCATTTGTCYTATGATTGCCTTGCATTTGTCTTGGTGTGTTTGGAGATGAGGCAAAATAGAAAACTTCTGGAATTTCAGGGATTGGGCTCAGGAAAGGTTTCTTAGAAGCCTTTTCTCTCTCCCCATATAAAGATTCTTTTACCTTTTTCTTTCTTCTTCTTTTTCCATAGCTTGTACGTTTTACTCTCTGAAGAAAYTGGGAAGATTGAATAGAGTGCAATGCAGTTACAATGATCCTTTGCAATATTTAACACCCTACTAAACTAATTGTAGAAGATATTTGGATAGAGAAACGAAGAGAGTATTTACAAATTGCAGTAGGCTGCCACTTACTGGTGTCTTCTCAGCAGTAGATACAGTTTTGCTCTTTTGTCTTTGAAATTTGTTCTTTCTTGGATTTTTAACACTGTTAGTATTCTTGGCACTTGTGGCTTTTGAGATGCTAGAATCTGTCTCTTCAGGAACGGTGCCATACTGTTAAGGAACAAATATTTTAAATTGTTTGCATATGTGCATTTGTGTGCGTGTGCACGTGCACACACGCACACACACACACGCTTTATAAAAATATAAAATAAAGCCAAAAAGCCAGAAGAATCACATTGCAGTTAATCTCAAAGCCAGAAATTAAGACTTATAATCTCTACATACACAGTACAATACAGGTCTATTTGTAAACAAGGCTATTCTAATGAGAAAATAGTAAATATTCATCTTGCTATTTCCTTCAGAGAAGATAGGTTGCTTTTTTCTGGTACTACCTCTCCCCCCCTACCCCTAATAGTTCTAGAACACATCACTACAGCAAGTTAAAATAAAAAACAAACCAAACACAAACAAAAACACTTATAGAATTGCTGTACAGTAAGTTCTAAATACCTAAATCTCAAGGAATTTTTTTTCTTTTTTGGTTTAAGAATAGAAACAAATTTTTAAGTCTTGTCTTTTTCACATTTCCRTAAGTGAATCTCAATGTCATTCACTCTTTTATGAACGAAAGGCCATGAAAAAGCTACCATATAAAGTTTAGAGAACACTATATGGGAGAGTTCCTAGAAAATTCAATAGAAAAGTAACTTTAAGTATTAGTCTTCAACCAAAGCTTTTTTGTTTTGGTTTGTTTTTTTTAGGGGTGGGAGGTGAGCTTTTTTGTTTGTTTGTTTTCTGTAATCGGAAAAGCACTTTTGGTCAAATACAACTTTTCCTTAAGACTGTTARTTACACCAATGGAATGTATTTCTATACATCTGGCTCTACCCTATTTGAAGATGTTAAAAAATTCTAATAAATATTAAGAGATATAAAGAACACTGAATTCTAAGAAATGAAATTAAACATCACTATAGAAACTTACCTTTCTTTTTGTACAGGATCGAGTTATTCTTGTTAAAGATCTGTCAGTTTCTGATAAAGAAAATATTGATTCAGTTTTAGCACACAATAAATCACATTTTGAGGAGTCTATCCAAATTCTTATCATCAGGCACAGTATGTTTAATTATCTTAGCCTTGATTAAGTAACGCACATAAAGGACTATCAAAGAGATATAAAGCCTGAAAGTTTTCCTTATAAAATAAAGAAGAATATCTCTAGGATTTCCTGTCCTTTCCCTTTTCTTTATTGTTTTGCTCGCTACTTCAAGAACATCAAAACTTCAGTAACAAAATCAGGATAGTAATCCCAGTTATTCAAAATTTTAAATGAATTTAAGGAACATCTATAACTTAATATTATTTAACTATGACATTCCCTAGAGTCTGTCATATTCAACTTTACACCAGGGAACTGATCTTGTACCTCTCCTAGTAGTGCTGAGATGTATGCACGTTTTAGTAAAAGCTGTAAGTGAAATTTTAAAGTTCTGAACCTGAATTCAAGATGATAAAAGCTTTCATATTCTTTCACATCATATCCCTCCTGTTCAGTTTATAAAAGACTGAATTCAGTGCTCTGTTAAGAAAAAAGTATTCCACTAACATGCAAGCAGCAAGTCAAGTTAGACCAACCATTACSACAGGAAAATGCTAAAGATCAAATAACACCCATTTAAACTACACAGTGAACAAACACTGCAGTTACAGCAAAGAACTATATGAGAAAGCAARAATATTTAAATGTTAGCATCAAGTTTTAATACATCTCATATATATGAACTATATAAGATCTGTGGCATCTCTCCATTTTCAGATATGGAACAATGCATGACTCAAAGATGAAATTAAGGACAGAATATTATTCTATGTTACCTTCCTTATTTTCAGCAGATAAAAAACCTTCCGCAGMAACATAATCCTCCATTATCTCCTGAAGAGGCCTGGGGCACTCCTTTAAGATGACCAATAAAAGTTAAAGTTTAGTTTACTACCAATATACTATTATCTGAAATACACTAAAAAACACTTTGACTATAAGAGTTTGGAACAGCCATATAACATGTGTTGTCGTAAAGGATGATGCAACTTGCTTTCTGCAAGTAGGCACATAAGCCAAGGGAAGAACTTCAATATACTACCRGTTTTAAACCCAGCTTTACAAGCAGAATGCTATTCAGGATTGATACAGCAAAGGRAAAAACAAGAGTTCTTAACATGTCATTTTAAAAGCATCAAGCAGTCTGTATTTTAATATTTTGGCAACTTCTTTTCAAAAATCAAACAGTTTGGAAATAATTAAACATTCTAGGAGACTGTAAGAAACTGTTTTTATACCTTAAACAAGTTTTCATCACTGCAGTCAAAGTTTGGTTGAGATAATGGGTCTTCCGTCAGACTTGACCCTGTAAATGGACTGTTGCTTTGCAATCCTGGATAACGGGCTGGTGTTGCTCCTTTGTGCAATGGAGTGTTTGCAGGCAAAGTTTTGTCAAATATTTCTGGACTTAGATCTTCTCCAAAAGAAACTTTTTTCTTCTTTCGCTTTTCTGAGCCACATTGTTCAGTCTCCTCTATTTTAAAAGCATATATTGACCGCTTAGTGAACTTAAAATACAACTTTCAATTCACAGGCCTCCCCAGGGCTCTTAACTCCCAACTAAACAGCAAAATACAGCCCTTATCTCCCTTTGTAACCTTATCTTCTGCATCACAATGCAAGTTATCATGCAAGGGCTAATCACAAAGGAGTTATATGGCTCATATGCACATCATTCTTCAGACAGTGTACACAGCAAAGCCCTATGAATCTATRAAATAGAGCATCTATTCACAGAAAAACAGAATCTGACCTGCTTGAAGTAATTCATAGATGTTTGTGGCACTGCTGACGTGAAGAGACTCACCACTTCTTCTGTCAACAGGACTGTCTAATACCTATCAGGTTTAAGTGATAATTGGCTGTTACGCATCTATTCAATACCATCATTCAATACTATCTATTCAATATATTCAAATATTGGCATTGTTTAAATCAAAACTGAAGTTGTTTTAAGTAACATTTAAGAATCACTCCCATCATTTAACAAACCTATTTGTTTTCTAAAAAATAGAAAAATAGAAAAAATAGAATACAACATACACGTATAACTTCTTGTAATATGAAAGCTTTTAATATTAGCAAACAGCAGACAAAACCTCCTGTTATCTATCTTTCTGAAGCATGATTTTATCATTAGTCAATAGCTTTAGCCATGATTCAACTTTGAGCAGTTCAGCAATGACCAAGGAAGCACATCACTAGCATTAATATCTACGTTCAAGTCTGTCAACCAACCTTCRTGCCGCCATCCATTATTTGCTTTACTGGTGTCTTCTTCAATACAGATTGAAGACAGGACCCGCTCTGTATATGTTTCTTGGATAAAACATTTCCTCTTTGTACCGGTGTGACAGGCGCTTTGGTTTCATCATATGTTTCCAGACTCAGTTCTTCTGCAAAACTAACTTTCTTTCTAGTTAGATCTGATGTAACATTATTTCTGTCTTCTTTAGTGACATACTCAGGACTGAAATCTTCAGAATAAGCAAACAGATGTGATAATTAAAGACTGAAGTAAAATTCAGAAAATTTCATTCCAGCAACATAAATTATAAATATACATCTCAGTTGATAGACTGGCTGCATCAATATCACCCAGTATTTCACTCTTCTAAATTACAAAAGTCATTCTTCTCAAAATTTCTGTTGCTACTGTTCATCATCTCCTTCATATTTCAGAAATTTATACAACGTGCAAAGGTAAAAAGAGTATTACTTGAAGAGATTTTGCATAAAGATTTGTATCTCACCCATGTTAGGCATGAAAAATATTATAYTGTGCAACTACACTTCCCTAGTTGTCTAGCTAACAAAATTAAGAGAAACATAAAGCCATTATTTGCAGTCTGTGTTTACTTTTGGGCTTGCTTTTTGTATCAGAATTGGAAAAGGGCTTGCATGCTGAAGAACTTGCCCCATCCTCACCCCAAACTCGCCTATAAAAATCTTCTAATAAAGACTGTTTTCTCTCTCCGAGAACCTGCCCCTCAATAAAACACCCATTTAGTGCTGTACTGTACTAAAAGAGGAGCTATGATTTCAGCTTTAAACTAGGAGATGAGCTTTCTCTGCAGCACCACTTGAACAGATCATAATTTACAATATTTTGTTTTTGCTACCACTTAACCCAGTCAGCCTTTAGGCAAAAGTCTCATCAAGTTTCTACTGCATTACAAATCATTGGACAAGAMGAAAGATACTCTATTTTTATTTTAGTTTCTGATAAAAGTGTAACAAAAATTACAATAGTGATGAATCCTCTTCCAACAGCTTGTTTCTAAGAAATCTATATTTAGAACAGCTACCAATAAAAAAACCAACAGAATTTTGTTGCTCACAAATGTGCTTCTGTACTAAAGGAAGAACTTTTGAGCAGAAAATAACTTACAAGAGCTTGCCTCCTGGAAAGCATCAGGCGCCTGTGAGAGCCCAGGGGAGCCAATCTTCCCTTCATTTTCTTGCACTGATGTAAAAGATTTTTGAAAAGCACATATTTTGTCCTTTAATGATCCAGCATTTTGATGATTAAAAGGACTAGTCTGGAAACAAAATTAAACTTCATGAAATTTCTTTTGCCAGCATATCTTTGTTACTTTGCATTTATATTTTAGCATAACAAGCTCTAAGAAGCAAGTTTTGTCTTTAATCTGGTTACTGCTTCAGTTGCATTGTAAAAATATAGAAAAAAAGAGATTAGATCAAGAAGTATAACTTAAAAATAAGTTATTTATGCTAGTCTGTATGCAGTCTGTAATCAAAACAAAATCTATCACAAAACCAAATTAGTCACTATTTTAAAGTGCCTAAGAGAATCCAACAAAATGAGGTCATGCTTATTTCTTATGTTGTCTGTCTTTAACTTCTCCTCCTGTCAGTATGTACTATCTTTATATATATATGTAAATATGCATATATATGAAGAATTACATATTGTTTCCAAGGGGAATAAACTGATACATTAGATATCTGCAAAAGATTCTCACCTGTGCAAAGAGTTCTTTCTGCCTACTCGTTCTCTGTTGGGCGAGGTATCGAATAAGTGTGTTATTTTCTGGGGACCCTCGCACGCCGATTGTTGATCTTCGTCTAAACTTTGACAAAGTTGGAGACTGCTCTGAAACCAGCACAGGAGAGAAAAAATAAATACTATGAAAATGTACATGTTAAAACATCTATAGCTTTAAATGGTAGGGRAAAAAAAAAAGATTAAAATTATTTTTAAAAAAATATTGTTTTAGAAGAAGAGTTTACACTTTCTGGAAACATCCAGCTCAGGAAACCTTTATTTTCTATGCTATTTTTCAACAAAGTCCTTAAAAGCAGATTCCAGAACTTTTCTTCACTAATATAAAAATAAGAAATTAGATCTTTACTTTTCTCTACAAACAGGAAATCAGAACATTCCTTTTCTATCCACACACAAAAAAAGAACACTCCAGAACATGGTTAAACGGTATTTCAGGTGAGGAGCTCTGTCTTTCCCCATTTCAGAGGCTCATTAAGGTGCTGTCAATAACATTTGCAGAATTAGTCTTATTACTTCACTGAGAAGCACACTGGCACAAAATTGGATAGAAAAAAAAAGTTTAAATGGAGAATTAAAGCAATATTACATCAATGTTATATYCTTAGACATTTCAAATTCCACCGGACACAGTCCTGAACTTTATCATGATCTAATTTTGAAGCTGATCCCATACTGAGAAGCCACTGGACCAGATGACCTCCAGGGTTCTATCCCAGAAGCACAGCCTTCATCATTCACCCCAGCCTTACCTACAGATTGTTTAGTGAATGATTCTGGGGTAATCCCAAATTCAGCAATTGTTGCAGTTGCAAAATCAATAGGCTTTCTCCTCCTCAGTTGCTCTGATTTTCCACAGTCATATTTTTCTTCTGCTTTATCTCTATCAGGTATCCAGGAGCTTTCATTCCTCAAAGACATAGGTCTCCTTTCTGAAAAACTGTCCTTATYGCTCAAAGGCAAGGTAGATTCACCAAATGTAACTCTATTTAGTGTATCAAAAAAGCATTCTGTGAGCTGACAGTTAACAGCATCCTTGCAGTTGAGGTATGATTCTTTCTGCAAGTCTTTACTGTACTTCAGCATGGGTCTTTCCAATGTCACTTGATTTTTATCACTATAATTCTCCTTCTCAGATGCCAATGTGATTTTGCATTCAGTCACTTTGCAGATCTTCTGGTCTTGATCAGAGAAACGGGCCTCTTCCTTTTCTTCCACACTTCTACTCATATTTTCTTTAACTTCCAGAACAGTATTTATATGTTTACATTGCCTGGGCATTGTTAACAACGTACTCTAAGACTGCAGAGATATTTAATCAGTCTCTGTCCTCCTGTAATCGCAGCTCCCTACCAAAAGGAAAATGAGATTAAGCAGATATTTGGTATGAGTGATTTTTTGCAAACTTTGATCAAACCTAGTAATTCCCTGGAGTAATTKTCTAGGGCAAGGCAGGTAGCAGTGTGAATAAAAAGGAGAAAAAGTGTTATCCCTAGAACTCTACACTGAAAGAACATGTAGGGCTGGGGCTAAACAGAGCAATGAACTCTAGGGTAGACCTGCAAAAGTGTTACACAATAAGAAAATACAAGGTTGTGTAAATCTAAATCTTACATTAATGCARAATACATTAAGTAGTTTCTTCTGTGATTATAACTTTGCTCCAAGAACTGTTACAACAGGTATCAGCACTTTGAGATTAACTCTGCAACGTTTAAACAATAACATATTTTGCATTCAGTTCTCAAGATTTAAAAGCTAAGCACACGGGGTTCAGRAAAGTCAAACTTTAACTTCATAAAAATGTTTTCTCTGTATCTTGCCATAGACTAACCAAAGTTGTTAAATAACGCGTGCATATATATACTATTTTTTTTTTGAAGTGATCACTGATGCTTGCATCCATCCGGACAGGGGCACGGGACGCTGCTCCTCAGGCGAGGAGAGCACCAACACGCAGCAAAGACGCAGCCTTTGGCCACGCACCCCCTCCCAGGCCCCGCTCCCCTCGGGCGGCCCTCCCCCAGGCGTGGGGGGCTTCCCTCCCCAAGCCCGCAGCCCCTCGCACCACCTTCCCGCGGCCCACACCTGCCCCCCGCGGCGCCCCCCKCTCCCGCACGAGCCCTCGCCGCTGCCCCCCATCCCCTACGCCGCCCAAGCACCACCGCGCCCCAGCTTCACCCCCGCCACGCCGCGAAACGCCCTCACGAGCCTCGCTCGCGCCCGCCGCCCGCATTCAAATCCGACCGCAGCACTGCGGATCCCTCCGCGCACTTTTCCCACTCTCRCCTCCCTCTCAGCAGCCGTCACGGCTGGAGCTGCAGGAGGCGGGGGCGGTTCGACGGAGCCCGGCCCCGCCCCGCTCCCCGCCCCTCACGCCGCCGGGCCCCGCGGGCCGGAGGGACTCTTTACTTGCCTGCGGCGCGGAGGCATCACGAGCCGGCACCTCACGCGGTGAGGCGGCCGGTCAGTAACGGCCGTTTGATGACGGCCGTTTGAACAACCGCCGCCCACATGACAGTCCCCACCAATCAGGTCCGCTCCCAGCCGCATGCAAATGAAGGCGGCTCGCTCCTCCCCTGATTGGCTGGGAGCAGGGCTCCTCCCGCCCGCCCCGCGCGCCCCGCCGCCCGAGCGGCCGCTCCGGCGGGGCGGCTCCCGCGGCGGCGCCGATTGGCTGCGGCCGCCGTCGCTCCGCGGGCGCTGCCTGCCGGGAGCGGCCGCCGCCGCCGCAGCATGAGGCGGGTCACGCTCTTCGTTAACGGCAGCCCCCGGAACGGGAAGGTGAGGGGGGCGGCGGGGGGCCCTGCCGCTCCCCGCGGGCCGGGGATGGGGGCAGGAGCCGCGCCGGACTCTTCCTCTCCCGGCGAGGCCCCCGGCGGAGGCGCCGCTTTGAGCCGCCGGGGCCCGCGCCGCGCCTGCACGAGCCGTTTCCCCGCAGGTCGTGGCGGTGTACGGGACGCTCTCGGACCTGCTCTCCGTGGCTAGCAGCAAGCTGGGAATCAAAGCGACCAGCGTTTACAACGGGAAGGGCGGCCTCATCGACGACATCGCCTTGATCAGGTGAGGCTCGCCCGGCGAAAGCTGTGGGGTGAGGGCCGAGGCGTTAGGACCCGGCTAGTCCCCAGGCCTGACTCACGACCAGGGTTGTCCATCCAAGCTCCTCATCCTTTCCGACGGCCGCAGAGGCTCCTCCTGCCGCAGGGTCATTCCAGCGGCGTTTGATGCCGTTGAACGCACCCAGGGCTGGGCCCAGGCACAGTGCCCTGTACCAGGAGCATCCCCCTGCTCGAGCCTTGCACAAGTCCCTCTTTTTGTTAAACTGAGGGGATAGCAGCAGATGAGGCTTTCAGATGAGGTTTTAAAGCTGTACCGTTGCATTAAATTCATAAAGTTAATTCCTAGAGCGTGTGTGYGTGAGACAACTATTGCATAAAGTTCAACGAGCTACGTAAAAGAAGTGATTCCTACCAGGTTTGCACAGGTGTGTGTCAGGAACAGCTCTCTTGAACTTGAGAGTATTAAGCTGTGCTGGAACCTGTAAGATTAAGATAAAAATCAGGTACTGAACTTCTAAGTAATGTCAACTTATTATTAATAACCTGGTAAGCTAAATAGGAGAGAAATTGTACTGTCACTTGCGTAAAGGAACAAAAAATATAGTTAATGATTTTAACCACCCCCCACCCCCTTCCCTTACAGAGATGATGATGTTTTGTTTGTCTGCGAAGGGGAACCATTCATTGGTAAGTGTATGTAATTCCCATGTTTAATGTTTTGCTCAATGGAAGGARTTTTGGTTTTGTTTTGTTTTACTGTAAATATAAAACTTATTTTCAGATACCTTTCAGTAAAGAGTTTTACCATATGGAAGATTCAAGCGTATTCTTCTAATAGTTACTGTGTTCTTGCTTGTGTAGATCCTCAGACCGATGCGAGATCTCATGAAGAACTAACAGGATCCCACACAGACTGGCTAACCCTCAATGTTGGAGGCCGATACTTCACAACTACACGGTAAAAGTCCATCTAGTTTGGCTTCATGCTGACAGGACTTCAATAAAGTACTTTGTCTAAATCACTTTARTGCTGTGGATGTTGGAATGAGTGTCAGGTACAACCATCCCTACCYGCAAGCTGCCAGGGGGAGAGAATACACTCTAACCAACGAGTGTGTCTCTTGATCAAATGTTCTATTTGAAAAATAAAACTGTGCTGCCTTTCTTTTCTAGGAGCACTTTGGTGAATAAAGAACCTGACAGTATGTTGGCTCATATGTTTAARGATAAAGGTTAGTATATTGGAATAAACTTTTAACCTAGGAATTAGCAAAGGTACTATCAAGGTAAAACTCTGGTAATGTGTGTTTTAGCTATGTAGAGTAGAAGAAAGAGACTTTCAAGTGTTTTTGTTCGTTTTCTCCCTGCTTTTACTCTCCTTCCTTTAACAAAATGCCCTTTAACGTGAAATGTTTGTTATTTTAATCCAGGACCCTGTAGTAGTCACAGTTTGAAGCAAATGCTCTTCCATTAACACAAATTTAATTATACATATGCTTTATGGAAACAGATGCTTGGGGAAATAAGCAGGATCATAGAGGAGCATTCCTAATTGACCGCAGTCCAGAGTATTTTGAGCCAATCCTGAACTATTTGCGTCATGGACAGCTCATTGTAAATGATGGCATTAATTTGCTAGGTAGGTATTACCTGTATGACTCCTAAATTGTTATGCTGCAGAAGTCAAGCTTCGCTTCTAGATAAAACCAGTGGGACTTGTGTATGTTCATGTAAAGATTTGGTGCACTCGATTCTCAGTTCAATTCCATGTTTGGTTTAATGAAGATATACTGGTTAAATCTATTTATCCTGAGAGCTTTAAAAATTCTCCATATTGCATTACTGTGTGGCTGTAATACTGGATTTGCTGTCTTTAACCTGCTGCTGCTACTGGAAATATCCCTTCTGAGTTATTATTTCCCTTTAGCTAAAAACAAGCTAACCTTACCCAATTACATCTAATATGATATATGTGGTTGACAGTTTTATTAGCGTATGCAGTTCTTAGAGACCCCTTAAGCCCCAGCAAGTGATCTRTTCATCTTTGAGTATAGCTAAAATGTAGAGTTAAAAGAATAGGTGAAAARCTGGTGAATTCATCATTCTGCAAGGATGAATAACCTCAAGTTACTGGCATGTTCTTGGCATGACTGTACAGTGTCTCCTCCAGTAAGGAAGAACACTGATGCTATTCAAGGTCTGCTTGTTGAGAATAATGAATGCTGCTTTCTTTCATTAGGTGTTTTGGAAGAAGCCAGATTTTTTGGTATCGATTCATTGATCGAACATCTAGAAATAGCTATTAAGGTAACATATGTATCTATAAAGATGTTTTTGTATGTGACTGTCCACGTCCTGTTCTTYCAGGCAATGCATGTTTTTAATCCTGTCCTTTAAACAACTCTCTCAATAGAATTCGCAGCCAGCTGAGGATCATTCTCCTATATCGCGAAAGGAGTTTGTCCGATTCCTGCTGGCAACGCCAACCAAGTCGGAGCTGCGATGTCAGGTGCGAAAATGCAGACTTTCGTTTGCCCTATAATATTGGGGTTCAATGGTGATACACCTTGCCAGCACTGTGTGTCAAAAAGCTCCATGGAATTCAAGCCATGTGTGTGCTTTGGCCTCTGTATTTTTTTTATAGGGTCTCAATTTTAGTGGAGCGGATCTTTCCCGCTTAGACCTTCGATACATAAACTTCAAGATGGCAAACCTAAGCCGCTGCAACCTGGCCCATGCCAACTTGTGCTGCGCAAATCTGGAAAGAGCGGACCTCTCTGGCTCGGTGCTTGATGTAAGAGATGTGTCTCGGGCTGCCCTTTCTTTATTCAAGGGAATAGGAATCGGAACAAATAGAAGAACTAGAAACGTGCTATGCTTTTCTATTTTCTTGAATCATGCTAGTCTGATGTATTCAAAAGCTTTTTTGGCCAAAAAGAAATAGAAATGAAGCTTAAAAAAAGCATTGGGAGAGAACTACTTACCAAGATGGAGAAGTAATAGTATAGCGAGTAGTTATACTGTCCCCGAGACTGTTTTGTGCTTTAGTGGGATTCACTGCATGAAAAGAAATGAAGACTGTAAACTGATCTCTGGTATTGTTAATCCTTGCATTTTTCCAAGTGTCAGTGGTACATCTGTCTCTYACCAGTGCGCAAACCTCCAGGGGGTAAAGATGCTGTGTTCCAATGCAGAAGGAGCATCTCTAAAAGGGTGCAATTTTGAAGATCCGTCAGGCCTTAAAGCTAATTTGGAAGGTAAGAAGTCTTGGTCTATCTGCTACTGTGTGGAAACTGAACAGGTCTTTTTTTAAATAACACAAACTTGCATGGCCTGTGAAAGATTTGGCCGTGGCTTGTGCAGTCTGTATCTTCATGAGAAGATGCCACAAATAAGGGATTGAGTACGTGACTGTACAGTCATTAAATCCCARGTTTGACCCTGAGCTGTATGAATTCGCATGGGTCTGAACAAGTATCACTGGAGTGATGGAGTTTGACTGTTCTTTCTTGTAAAACCACTCTTTGTGTATTTTAGGGGCTAACCTGAAAGGTGTTGACATGGAAGGCAGTCAAATGACAGGAATCAATCTCAGAGTTGCAACGCTGAAAAATGCAAAGCTGAAAAACTGTAATCTCAGAGGAGCAACTTTGGCAGGAACTGATTTGGAAGTGAGTAATGGGAGAATCTTACCTGACTGCTAGCATGTCACAGCACTGTCTCTGTTACAGCAGAACACTCTGGCTTGTTTTGCAAGCTGTTTACATGGCAGTTCCTCCTCAAGTATTAAAGAAGTATTCAGAGTAATAACTGCTGAGACTGTGAAGAGGCAGCTTCTTTGAGGCCCTTTTTCAGCATGCAGTAGTAACTCCTGTAAGGTAATTTGTTATGAAAAGTGCTCAGTTTAATAACTTAAAAATAAGTCMAGCTGATACTGTGAAAAGCAGTTCCTGTCTTTGGAGAAATAACAAACTTGAGTAGAGTGAGAGACCTCAAGAGATCGYAATTAATGGTAGTGTTCATGGCTTCTGTAAGTTCTGGGTATACTTCAACTAATAYGTATTTTTTTCTTTTACCCTTTAGAATTGTGATCTGTCGGGTTGTGACCTACAAGAAGCTAATTTGAGGGGATCTAATGTAAAAGGAGCTATCTTTGAAGAGATGCTGACACCTTTGCACATGTCTCAGAGCGTCAGATAGGGAAGAGAACTTGCTCTAGAGGAAGCAATCAAAACACTTACTGGGACTTTTTTCACCTGCTCTCCTTATTAAGTTAGAAGCAATGTTTCTTGGACAAATTTGCATTAGTGCCTAAGTACACTCTTCTCTGATCACTTTTGGGGGAGGGAGCTTTTATTTAAGAGAGAAATAGATACTGTTTCTACCTTTGTGAATAGAGTGAGGATGAGGAAGTGGGCTGGTTTTAGAACCAGAATGTGTGGCTTTTTTTTTTTTTTTTTTTTTTAGATTCATTATTTAGCATTGCCTCACTTTGGAATGCATTTTAATTTATAAAGCACAATATATGCAATTCTATTTATTAAATCTGTAGCTGCAATATGAATAGAAAATGTTATTCATGTATAGTAGCAAAAAAGTTGAGGTTTACAGTTAGATTAGTTTATCTACAGTAGGTTTCTTCATTCATGCACAGTGTATTAAATGACAGATGTGGTTGTCCACAGGACACTTTCAGGTACTCTTTTCTTTTGGGGTGAAACCATAGTTAACTGTAGTCATAGGTAATGTTTCAGCTTGTAATAGTTTAGGTAAAGAACAGCTCTCTGTCATGTTCTAAAATACCCAGTGGAAGTCCCTTCTGCTGTAGAGATTACTTTAAAAAAAAAAAAAAAAAAAAAAAAAAAAAAAAAAGACACTTCACATACACAGCAGTTTTAGTTATAACTAGAACAACTCTGTTCCAAAATCAGATGGCTTTTTTTAATCCTTTTCAAGTTAGTGTGGAATTGCATTCTCACAGCTGGTGAGAAAAATGCTCTTGCTTTCCTGTATCCTCTCCACTCCTAAGCTTGAGCACCTGTAGCCTTTTTGCTCTCAGYGGGCACTGAAATGTAGATGGAGAAATGCAGTGCAGTGTCTCCAAGAGCAGCTGCGAGATGAGCTGTGTGAGCTGCACTGCAGAGCAGCGCTCAGCGTCAGGGTAGGAGCTCGCATCTAACACACCTCTGGCTTCAGACACAATCAAAAAGCACAGGAAGATACTATACCAAAAACGGTTTGTCAAGTTCTCTTACCTCAGATGCTTATCAAAGTAGCCCAAAGTGGAAACTAACCTTGAATCTAAGGAAATACAGCTGTTCCTGGAAGTTAAGAACAAATGTATCCGAACCCTTGCAGCCTGTGACACTGCGAGCAGTGCTTTGAATTTCACAGCTACTGCAGGGACTTGCCTTTGATTGTTGCAGGGGGAATTTACTGCCCTCCGGACAGAAGTTGTGTTGTCTCCATAGTAACTATGAAAATGCTGCTTTGCTGTTTATCTAGAAACATTAGTTAGAAATGATAAATTGTTTGTTCCTATGGGGGAACTGCAGGATTCTCCCTTATTTTCAAGTTGGGTTGACTCAGGCATAACACATGAACTTCTGGGGCTCAAAATCCCACAGGCGTGTGATTCAGAATTGTGGGTGGTTGTTGTTTCCAGATTCCCAGGCCTCTTGATCTGGCTCTAGGACAAGGGGTAAAATATATCTGTATGTTCAAGGGAAACGCGTCATCTGGATCTTTGGAGTCCTTTCTCTCACACCGTCACCTTCATGAAGAGTGGTGTATAAGTTGTAGAGGGAGAAGATTCCCAGGGCTAGAGAAATAAATGAATTATTTTTCTTTATCATATTTTGTAGCTGGCAGAAGTAAAATATTGTATGGAAAAAAATCTATTTTCATAATCACTATGTATAAAATATATTTGAAATCTCACTGAAGCACTATGTTTTGAATAATCACAGCATGTGACATTGTTCATTCACATACCATTATAAGGTACCTCTTTTGCTATGACAAAGCTGTATGGATAGCCTAAAATGGCCTATTCAGAAATTGCAGGTTCCTGCATAATTTAAACTGCATTAATAAAAGTATAAAATATAAAAATGTCTTTATGTTCTTAATTTAAAAAAGAAAATTAYTTGACTTTTAGTGGAAGTGCAGTAAGTTGGAAGAGAAGGGCAACATTGATGGCTGGGGCTTTTCTTTGTATGTAAACTGAAGGTATTTTGTAGCTGAAGCTGCTCTTTGCCTTTCCCGAGGCCCTGGCTGTTCCCTTAGCCTGTGCTTGTAAGCAACCAGTGCTCCCTTAACAGGGCTGCCTGCTGCAGCCAGGGATGCACCCAGGCTTGAAAGCTCATTTTATGGAAAGACTGGAGTTTTAGGAGTCTTCACTTCTGCACAGGCAACCTGCACGTGGGCAGAAAGCAAAAGACCCATATTTGCTTTCAAACTTAGTTGAAACTAAGTTTACTAAGAAACTAAGTTTACTAGAAAGTGTTTACTAAGTTAACTAAGCCAAGTTAACAAGCTTATTTGTCAGCTACAGAACAGTATTCGTGACTGTGTTTTACTGCACTGTAAGGAAGGGTGAGAGCTGTTAGGGGTTGGCTGGCAGTAGATGGAGTTCAACATGCTGGGGTAGTAAGAGGTGCAATTACTGGGCTAAGTCTCCTTCCGGACAACCAAAATCTTCCATTTACTTTAAATAACATTAATTTTTGGCAAGCTGATCATGAAGGAAGTGGCCTTAAAATGTTATCACAGGAAAATCTCCCTTCTAAATCCTGCCCTGCRCTAACACTTCTGCAAGGGAAACAAAACATTTTCACAGCTTGATCAGTTTTATCAGCTGAGGTTAAATGTTGTCTAGTCCTGCTGTGATGTTGCATTAGAGCAGGAAGAAGTACTTTTTTTTTGCTAAAGTCGTTTAATCCTCCTTAAAATATTTACTTATTCTTTAATCCATTAATTTGAAAGAGGTCATGGGGAGTGACCCCATCAGGGAAGCTGATGTTTAAGGACCATTAAATGCAATACATTCATGTATTATATTATGTAATGATACATTTAATTGCACATAAAAAGGTGCAGAGGAAGTCAGAATTACTGCCAGAAGAATTATTAAAAAAAAAAAAAGATTTCTGCAGTTAAAGTTACCGAGTTTAACTTGTCCCTATAACTGTCTTCCATTCTTAAAATACCCTGCAGTGCACAGATTCTCAGAATGAAGAGCTCTAGAAATGCTTTTATGTATCTGTATCTATATATACATGACACATGTTAGTGCCTGGAAATTCTATTCATGAAAGAAGCCCCATCCTAACACAGAGAAGGTGCCTTCCCCAACATGTTTATAGTCCACTTGTCTATTGGATCCACTTAACGCACCTTTTAAAGTCTTTTTTGCCTTTTTAACAAATTAGAAGCCATTGAAAAGAAAGTTTGTTACCTTCAGTAGCTTTAAAGAGCAGAATTTAACAGCTGCATCAGGGGTGTTCCAATTATGTTCTGCTGCATTACAGCGATTTTAAGAAGAAAATTGCAGTCTGAGAGAGAGAATTAAATAAAGACACCTGCTGTGCGAGGTTGGAGGTTGAGGTGACTGTATATAAAAGGGAGATGAGAAGGACAGCAGTCCAAACAGGAGCAGCAGGAGCAGCTCTGCAGATTCTTTCACCAAGCAGGTAAGGTGCTTGGACACACCACAATCCATTCTACTTATTCCCTCCTTACAGATACTTGCAGTAGAAGCAGTTTGCATTGGGAAATGGAGAGAGGACTTTCTAAAGAACTAGCTAAACTGAACATATCTGCCAACTATCAGCAGGGTTTTTCACTAAGCCTTTRAGGTCCTGCTTCTCCTAAAATTCTGAGATGTTTAAAAAACTTAATTCATAGCTCAATACATTTTTTTCAGGTACCAGTTTTCTTGATAGTTGGCTAATCGATTCTGAGTGGCTCAAAATCCATGTTGATCTTGACCACATGTTGACATAATACCAGTGAAAGGCAGGAGATGGGAGCTCCAGAAATGTTTCATGATTCTGCAAGRTAAAACAGGTCAATACTTACAATGCCAGCACAATATCAAAGGTGTCTTGCTCTCCCAGGATGGAGAAGTGCGGCAAGATCTTCATCAGCGTCGTCCTGCTTATTGCGGCCGTGGAAATCTGCTTGGCTCAACACTGGTCTTATGGACTACAACCAGGAGGGAAAAGGAACGCCGAAAACCTGGCAGAATCATTCCAAGAGGTAAGCCCGGGGTTTTAGAGCAACCTTGTCCTTCTGACTGTGACACCTTATATGCACAGGATGTGGTATTAGAGATAAAATAGGCTTTGCTGGGTGTACATACTATACACACACATTTATTTATTACTTGCAAAGCTAAGAGTGATGCAGTTTAGTGAAAGATGACATCTGTGGTGGCTGTTACACACACATAGTTTGTGCAGCCTGCTTAAGGGCAAGATAGAAGTTTTAATTCCAAATTAAATCCGAATGCACCGTTCCCCTAGTTTCAGCCAATATTCTGAGTGGCTGTTTTATGACAATGTCCAGTTACTTCAGTGTGAATGTGGCCATGAGCAGATGTCATGTGGTAACTAAGTAGACAGCGACCAATTAGATGAGGAATTTAAATCATAAGACAGCTGTGAAAGGCTCCATTCACCCCTGTTTTTCCCATGCGTTGTGCARCTCCACTGCTTCATCTACAGTCCCTCAAAACAGCAGTTCCTACATATTAAGTTTACTGTAACAATAGCAGTTGGGAGGAGGTGAATTTAAACTGTGAAGCAGAGCAGTTTCATCGTCATCTACGGGCGCTTGCCTTTCATGAGGGCCATATCCTTTCCCAATTCAGATTGAAAACAGAATGGAAAAACTGGAGGAAATGCAGAAGACTGAATGCCCAGGCCCCTCTGAGCACRCCAAGTTTCGTGACCTGCAGGAAGCCCTGGTAAGGAACATGTTTGTTTTAGCTCTGTGGGAAAATGAAGCAACTGTCTCAGGCWGGGAAAGGATATGCAGGGGGAGAAGAAGGGGTGGAGGACAAAGAAAAGGCATCAAAGTTTAGTTCAGGACTCTATTACTCTTGACACTCCCATTTTAGTAATGTCATTGCTCGCGAAATTAAAAACAAACAAACAAAAACCAAGGAGGGAGAGACRTTCTACCTTCATTCCGCATCTTGGCAGCATTCGCAGATGCTCAGCTTCAAAGGCACCCTTTGCCAGCTGAAGGACCAGGCCATATGGAAGCTGCAACTCCCAAGGTCCCTAGACCAGGAAATGTATTTTCCATTAGATGCCATAATGCAATGACAGCAGAGACTGTGTGGACTTACTGCCACAAAAAGTACACTCCAGCAGAGATGTGCTCTTTAATTAATATACATATATAGCAGCACCTTAACTCGGGTAGACRCTTGCCACTTTCTGGGAAGCAACTCCAAGCTGCTTCTGAAGACTGAGCACTCAACACCTCCGCTTCCCTGGTGGAGCGAGAACAACAGCAAAAGCAAAACCTCCCACAGCTAYGTACTCATTCCCTCACTTAGGAAAGGCTGATCTGAAAAACAAGGCTCATAAACCCAAACATGCTAAAGCAGACTGAAGAGTTTCATTTCCATTGGATTTTCATGCACTACTTACCTGAACTCAAGCTGGCCCTGAACAAATCCTAACGGGACCTTCACCTTCCAGCAGCGCGGCTGGCAGCACGAGAGCCAACACCCGTAACGTCAGGTGCTTGCACAGCTTTTCCTGTTGGAAGAAGCTACGTTAGGAAGGGAAGAGATCGCAGAAAAATGGCAGAATGTTTGTATGAGTTCTCTGATCACCCATGGAAACTTGGCCTTCCTTTGCAGAGCTGAGGGTCCCCAGGTGGATGTTTAGGTTTCCTTGTTGGAAAGGGCTGGTGATTATGCACAGTAAGTGTACAAGGTGTTTGATTCARCGGTTTATAACTTATTTTGCATTTCTTTCTCCGGTAACATATTCTGAATCACGTGGCCTTCTCCATGCTTTTAACTGCTTAATGACAGCAAAAACAAGTTAAACCTTTTCCAGATGCAGCTTTTCCAGGGTAACACACTGCTGGAGTTGCTGCAAGAATGTTATGCCATGAGAGGGGAAGTGTCAGGAAACGGTCCAGCCCTCATCCTCTCCTGGAGAAGCAACAGTGTGTGCAAACGTAGCTAGTCCTAGCTAAGGCACAGGAGGGAACAACTGCTTCATGGAGCGTTTCTATCCCCAACACCTCCACCTACCACCCCCGAGATGCAAAGAGCCCTTCCCGCAGAAGAGCAGACCCAGCAGGGTTTGATATGAGACTCGTTTCTCTTCCACAGGCACTAAGCTCTGCCCTGGAGCGGTGCCTGGCCCCTGCGCTCCGTGCAGGGACACTGTCCRAGCACCTTCTCCTAAAGCTCGTGCCTGGTGGCCTGGCTGCTGTCGGCCCTGCTCTTCACCAGCGGCTGGGTTGGCTCCAAGATCCGCAGTGGGCCCCTTAACGCATGTAAAGTCGGTCGCCCACTTTGGGCTGAAAAGCGCTATTTTAAGTGGCAGTGACACGACGTTACGTTCAGACCCACAGGCAGCTGGCACAGAGATCATGTTGGGTTATTTTTATGACATTCTAATGCTCCTACAAATTAAAGTCRTAATACGAACATTTCAGCATCTGACCAGGCTTTAAAATTCCATCAAAGTAACTTTCTTTTTTTCTTTCTTCTRAACAAAGTACATGTGTGTTCACAGGCAAGTCTGATGGAAGGAGAAGCTGGCAGGAAGAAAATTTAAACCCAAGAACTCCGAGTAAAATTTGAAGACAACGTTAAAAASAATTCCTCCTCAGCTGACCTCTGCTTAGACTGTATTTTGTGAATAAATATTCTGAAGTTACATGTAAATTGTGGAAAATACTGTTGTGTAGGACAGTAGTTTGTAAGTAAAGGGAACGCAGTCTCCAAATACAGTAACACAAGTAAGAAAGGTTTAATTTTTAACAAAGATAAACTTTCTGTTGGAATGTAATTCCACTTACACTTGAGGAATATAATCCATGCATGAATGAAGAACATTGATTTTTTTTTTCCTGGTTCACTCAAAAACTACATTTATTTAAAAAGGTATTTACAAAGTTTACAGTAGTTAATACATTTTAAAAAACACAAAAATTTGTACACCTTGCTTTACAGTCTTAGTGAATTATGTGTCATTTTACCCAGAGAGATGCAGATTTCCTTTCCAAAGCTCAGCTCCTACTCTTCCTTCAGAGCAGTTTATAAGCAGTATTTTTTTTTGTTTCAACTGTAGAGGAATAAAGGAAAAGAGAAGAAAGGAGATCTGTAACTAAACTATCACATCCATGATCTACGACAGCATTTCAGACAACATCCATATTCCTCAAGTCCACACAGACATTTCCCAAGCCTCACAGCATTAAACCTTTACAATCCCGATGGTGAAAGCTACAGCAATTAATACCACACATATAAAGAATGAATTTCAGAAGTATTAAAAGTCTTTACCTCTGTATAAAACAAAAACTAGCGACCGTGTTTCTGAAAAACAGTTCCGAAGTACACAGACATGCACATGCAGTGTTTTCAACAGCAGCCTTAAATCAGAATAAATGCCACATGAACAAGTTTTTCCCTCACTTCTTTTTGACACGGTTGCGGGTCCTCTGTATATTTGCTGCAGAGCAGATGCACAGGGTGCTGGGGGTGTTCACAGCCCTGATTCTCCACCCTGCCATTCTGAAAAGCCCCCTTCAAGGCTGTGATATGTGGGCACAGGTACCTGCACGATCGGCCTTCATCAGCTGGGGACAGGTTTTCCAGAGCACACAGTATTAAGCCTAMCTGCTCCAACTGGGAAACATACGCTAGCGTCACAAGCAAATAAATATTTATTGCAAACATTAATTACAAGGAGCAGAATTAGGTAAACCTCAGGTGCTTCTGAAAAGTCAAAGTCCTGCCATGCTGTCAATGGAATATTATTTATAAGCGTTTGTTTCTGATGCAGTCCTAGGAAAAGCTCATCCTGGCCCACCAGAATTTGGTCTACAAGAGTAAATACTATATAGAGCAGCTTTTAATTAAAAAAAAAWWRRAAAAAAAAAAGAAAAAAAAAGAAAAAACGTTGAAGAAGGGAAACAGTAATGGTCAGCAATGATTTTACTATTAAAAACACAGTTAAGTTACAGACATCAGTATTTTAATTTACAATTATATAAAATAAATAAGGAGAATTATCACTGAATCTAGCTTGCTTGTAATCACTCACTGCGGAACATACGCCGGGCTGCACAGTGTGAAGGTTATTAGATGCAGAATATCACAACTGCTACATAAGCACAACAGTATCTTCTGCCATTGCAGATCACAGAGCAATTCTCATTGGAATCCGTGTCCTTTCCTAATCCAATAATCCACTGAAACAGAAAGCTGTCTGCCTCTCTCTTCCCATGATGTGGATTAGAGCCTGTAACATTTTTAAAGGAGTTTATCACAGCATGACGAATTTTAATTAAAAGCTCCAGAAAAGAAGAGTTGAGTATATTTCTCAAAAGAAAGAAAAATCCTCAAAGACTTGAAATTCAGCACTAGCTTTGAACAGCATGGCTATGACATGGGATTAGATTTTGTCTCCTCTGCAGACTGGATGTTTAACTTCCARATTGGTTTTATTCATAAAACAGTGAGACTTCAGATCATCTCTGGAATTTAATCTCAGAATTTAAATCAGGTAGGTGCTAGAGAAAGCAATCACTAAAAATCACAACATTTTAAGGTGAAAAACAAAAAGCAAACTAAAAAAAGAAAAAAACACACACACAAAACACACATGACTAGAGCGCTGGTGGATTATTTCACAAAAATATGGACACTTGACTCCACTTCATCAGCACCAGCAAAGCCCCATGCTTGTTCACACACTTCATGCCCAGCCATTTTATTTTCTCTTCCCCGAAAAGGCAAAAAGCCGCTCAAWCACTTAGGCACAACACACAGATTTCAGCTTTCACCCCTAAGGAAACTCGGGTGACTTCCATCTGCTGAGAACGTGCCCCTTCATCATCACCACCAGCTCCTCTATCTTCTAAGTCCCTTTCTGACCCAGAAAACCTGCCAGTGAAAATGCCCCGCAGGGCTTGGGAGGGGAAGCCTCCTCCTGGCCCCTGGGGACATCCATGGTGCAGTAAGCCGTAAAAGAAAAGCATGTACATTTATTCCTATAAGCTACATTTTCAGCAGAGATTTTAGTTTGCCTCTACAGTCTAATCCAGATGAATCCTCAGAACTTCACTGGCTCCAACTGGCAGCTGCAACTTTGGGGAGGCATAGAAAGAAATTTTAACTACAGAGTTCAAAATAAAGGAGGAGGAAAGTTCTTCAATGCATTCATTCTGAAACAGTCAGGATAGAAATGGCTGCGCAGCACAAGATAAAAGAAAAGATCAATACAAATACATTTGCAGCAGCTAACTCTTGAAAAAGTAGAGTTGAGTAGAAATTCATTTTGTAAGAGAGGATTTTAAACTGCATTTGCTTCTSGCTTAAACGCTGCAGAACAGCAAAGTCCTTCATGTGGCAGCCCAGGCACAGAGGAGAGCTGACTGAGTCATCGGATCCACGAACCAGGACRATACCTGTGCTTAATTTTCAATCTCTGCAGAACTGTGAGGAACTACTACTCTAGCTGTGTGCAACAGCTTCTTCTGTAATGGATCATATTAATTTAAAAACATGAAAAAAGACACCCTAATTTAAAAACAATCTTAAAAAAAAAAAAAATCAAGATCACTTTTTTTTTCCTCTAGACAAATGTAAAGAATGATGGTGACATCCAAACAAAGCGGGGAATAAATAAAAGAGATTAATAATCTACTTATAAACAGCGTAACTATCCCATCCTCCAAGGAAAGGCTGCAGAGAACAGGATTAATCCAAACAATAATAAACTTTGTCAAGTCTTTCGCCTACCTCCTAGATCTTCACAACTAGAGGTTCTTAAAAAAGACACTGGATCAACAGAGGTGGAACAAACACAAAGGACAAGAACTGCAACAAACGTACGTGGGGTGGGGAAGCGCGTGAGGATTTGGCCAGCCAGAGCAGACGTTACTGCAGCCGTTACACTTCACTTCTGAGGTCAAGCTTTGCATGCACTCCATCCTTGAAGCTGTTGCTATCAATACAGTGCTGGTTCCAGTGCAACTCCTACCAATTCTAAGATTTTCACAGGAAATAAGTGATTTTTTACACCCTATTTAAAAAGAAAAAACTTACATATGGTACCACGTCCCTGATATGTACAGGAGCCAAGCCCCGTACAAGTTCCCCAATTCAGGGAAGAGTATCAATAGCTTTGTAGTGTTAAAACCGTCATCAGCAGGGAAATTATGACACAGTACTGATGAACCTAAGCTCTCAGGAGTGAGCAACTACCACCACTGGAGCAGAGATGCTGCAAGGCAGAATCTCTTCCCCTTAAATATATAGGATGACTAGCAGGGAGGAAAAAAAGACTTCTGTCAACAGTGCCAAGGTCTCTGCCTGCAATCAAGAATCTTCAGAGACTGCACATCAAATGGATGGCACCTGACACCTCAAGACCTGACATTTTACAGCTAGGAATGGCCTGTTTCACTTCATGAACGTCAAGGTTTCACTACATGTTCAGGGGCAGGAGGAGGGATCAGTGCATTAGAGCAACTGTATGGCTGCAATAAATCTATGTGAAAACAGGAAGAATATCATAGTAATAAGGCATGGCTTACCTTCGTTCACACACACACACACACACACACACACACACACACACACACACACACACACACACACTGAGCCAAGCCATTACCGTGACAGATTTACGCTAGGAAGGAGCTGGTGAAATTGCATTGGAGAAAAACCCAGGATAGACAAGACAATGAAACATAGCAATTTTAGTAGCTACTCCCACATGAACAGTGTCTCAGTATTGGGAATTTTAGTAGTTACTGCTACTCCCACATGAACAGTGTCTCAGTATTGGGAATGTAAATCAGAGCTTGGGAATACAGTTCCAACAGTAGCTTCTTTTGGTATTTTCCAGGAAAAACTCCAAGTGAAGTGAATGGAATGGGAAGAGGGATCACTAGTCTTCAGAGCTGCAGAGCTATGTCATTAAAAGGAAAGCAGCCACCTCACTCCAGGCACTTGCTGTTTTGCAAGYGATGATCTTCACTGCAATCCTTGCTCTGATGAAGCGACACTGGATTTTCTGGTTTTGGGGGGTGGAGGAGGAGGTTTGGCTTCACGTCTGCTGGGCAGTGGTGGGGCAACCTAAGAAAATAAAGTGCAATAATAAAGCATAAAAAGAGCAGGCTACTGTGATATTTTACATGTTAATAATGTTTTTTAAACTCTTCAGTCATTATGGGTTTTTTGTTTGTTTTCTGTATTTCTGATAGATTTTAATCAGTTTGCCTAACCAAGGACAACACTTGAAAAAGGGGCTGCACTAATAACATTCCCAAAGTGAAAAACTTCTTATTCTTTGTGGTTCCAGGGAGTGAACCAGTAAAATGATTAGACAAACTTCAAGTTGCACCACCCTGGAGACTGTTTGGAAAATTCCACTGCTACTTCTCTCTCAAAAGCTGGTTTCCAAAGAAGTGCCCGCTCACATTTCCTCACCTCCCCAGAATTTCTGGAGCTGCTGTTCTCGTAGGGTTTGCTCTTGGGCGGAGGAGGGGGTGGTGTACTCTGGAGGCCGGCAGTCACCAATCCATCCGCTTGCAAGGAGGGAAAACCTGGGGAAAAAACAATAGAAAAAAGGTAGTGAATGCAGAGAAAGCTGAGGAGCAGTGAGAAATGGGATTGAATACAGGTAATTTTAAGGGAGAGTCATTTAACATTTTGCAGTTTAAGTCTGCTAACAGAGCTGTTTTAGTAGCTAAACTTGAGCAGATATGTCAAAGCAGAATCACAGCTCTATCTCCCTT